GCGGAGATCCTCTTACGAGAGAACTAACGCACCTCTCTCTCTTCTGTTCTAATTAGCTATCGTATAACGAAACCGCAATGGATTTCGAAGAGAAACTTATTTCTATCGATTGTTCATTTTCCACGACGATACAATTGTGCGACAATCGCGAAAATGAACAAATCGTTGCGAAAGATCTTGATAAAAATCGAACCGCACGCGTGCCAAATGCGTGTATGCATCTCTTTATTTTTACAAAACGCGCGCTCCGATGTGTTCTTTGCTTCTTTTCTCCGATCGAAATAGAACACGGAGAAAAACTCTCCGCGAGAGACATTACGTAAGAGCAAGTCAGCCTGTGGCACAAAGTGGACGTGCAACGACCGGAACTTCCAGTGGCACTGAACTCGAAGGGAAAAATGATGAAGACGCGTCGGCGACGTTGACGATGACGATTACGACGTCGACGACGTAGACGCGGCGTCGGAGCGCGTCGCGAAAGAAGAGAGAGAGAGAGAGAGAGAGATCGTCTTCCGAGACTAATGATAGTCTGGATTTTAGTGGCTCGTAGCATCAGCTGCAATACGTGTAATGACGATAATGATAATAATGATTGTAATAACGACGAGCAGGCCTCGCGCAAGCGAGACGCGACGGTCGTCGAGTTCGTGAGTCTTTTCTTTCTCCTCTCCTCTCCTCTCGAAGAGAAAGAGAGAGAGAGAGAGAGAAAGAGAGACGCGCGCGAGAGAGGATCCTATAACATTACATATAATTCGAGTTTCGCGTTTAACTATCTGACGTAACTCGACGTGAGATCGACCGGCGCAATGAAATTGCGCGTCCCGGGGATGTATCTTTCTCGGAAGAAAACGCCCGCGTTATTAGACGCGACGGTGAAAAAAAAAAAACGCGGATTGTGCCGATCAAACGGAACGAGCGCGGAATCGCGCAAAAATCTCCTACACGTTATGGGTTAAAAAAAAAAAAAAAAAAAAAACTGACACAACCAGATGCGACCCGCGCCGGAATGCGGTCTTCTCATTAACTAATTTTAAAAAAATATGGGTATACATAAATATGTATATATGTATATATTTATGTTTAATAGTTTTTGAAGAATTTATGGTCCCGTCTTTGTTGAGACGGTTTCCGGGTTCGTCTCACGCTGCCCCAACGTCTTGCTTTAAAAATGAACAAAAGATGGAAAGATGCTGCGTCGTTTGCGGTAGCAGGTACAATTCCAGCAAAGATTTTCTAGCAAGAATTTTTCTTAGCGCGTGTGTGGTGAAAAAAACCAACACTCCAGTCGCTATACTTTTTTTGGCTTCTTTTTTGTTTTTTGACCAATCCGTTATACATAAATCCTCATGGGGGTGTATCGTTTCACGCAAGATGCGATTCTCGTTTTTTTTTTTTAAATCTGTCGAAACGAGAAACTTCTTTCGTTATTGCGAAAAAGATGTTACTTTTCAAAACTTGAACGTACGGAGTTTAATATTCGAGAAAAAAAAAACGACAAAATCAAATTTTCATACATCTCGTCGTTTCTGCGTCTTTTATTTAGTTAGTTTTGCCAGTGTGAGCTCTGTGATGTGAAGTAACTGTCGCTCTTCACGCGAGAGATGCATAACAGTTGCACACCCGTACCCGTTTTAGCAGCGCGTATACCGTGCGAGCGCAACAATTTCCCCCACCTGTTGTGCGCGCGAGCCTTGCGAGAGCCGCGCGGCGCGTTGCATAAGTGCTTCTCTCCTCGCCTCGATCCCGACCTTGACTTTGACTTTGACTCTTGATTACGATCACGAACAAGTAGCGCGGCGGCCGCGACGACGTATGGTTTCGCAAGCCGCCGTCGTATAGGCGAATAGGCATCTCACCTCGCTGGATATATTGCTTGTGCACTTGCGTTTGCGTCGCGCGGTCCAGTGAGCCGCGGCGAAACTCCGATTCCCGGCGGTAGCAACCGCCTGCGGATCGCGCGACGCCGCAACATCGATTCCGATCTCGTGGAATGTTCGTGGGCGCGATTCCCGCGAACAGGAGAGAAAACGAGAGAAACAAAATGTGCGATACATAAACTTGTAAATAAACAAGTTACACTATTTTATAAATAAAACAATTTGATAAATTAAATAATAAATATTGATTTAATCAATTATGTAATAAAGAAACACACTTACGCCTTACATAAGGACTTTATTTGCTTGAAACGATAATGCGTAAATTTTGCAACGAACCGAAATGACCGTCCCGCGTGCAGTATATAATTGTCGATTGTAAAAATAAAAATTTAAGAGAATGAATAAAACTTTAACGGCGATAAAATGGAGCGTGGCATTCAATCGCTTAAGAAGTAGCATAAGGGCGATATATAAAAGCAATAAAAAAAAACGAGAAGAAGGTATACGCGATTGCCACTCCATCGCGCGTCAGATAAATTGCTCGTGTGTGTGCGTGCGTGCACCAGAAAAAGGGTTACAGTAGTCAAGCGACGTTAACGGGGGGAACGTTTGAAAAAGAGAAAGTAAGGCTCTCGTAAAATGGACGCGAGAGAGTCAAAAACGTGCGTGATAAGTTTTTATTTATGCTTCATTTTTTATTTTGTTTTTTTTTCTTTTTTATCGAGTAAAAACTCATCTTCGAAGTAAAAGTTTGGGATCCCTTTTGTTTGAAAATAATTGGTAAGACGTTTTATAACAAAAGTCGTCGGGCGTGGAAGATTGCGATGTTACAGTCGAGAAAAAAAAAAGGATTCGCTCGCAAAACCGCGCCTCAACGCCGCTCGTTAATTCTGTCTTGTTCAATAATTGCAATTGAATTGCAGAAGCGCGGTAAAGAAAAAAGAGGCTAGAGAATATCGATAATTGTTAAATTCGCGGAACACAACGGAAATCGCGCAAATATTCACGCCACTTCATCGCGGAATCATTTTTCTTCAGTGACATAAATGATGATACATCGGGGAGGAAAAATGCAAATTGTTCGAGAATGCAACGGTGTGGCAAGAAATATGTATTTAAGAAATATGCATAAAAACAAACGTTTACGCAATCTTATTACATAATTTATTCCACGCGCGTGCCGCCGTTCTTGCCTTCCGTTTGAGAGTGTTAATTATCACAAAATGTTTTCGGATCACAATCAGACGTGATTCTTCGAATTTCTTGCGTTATGACGCGCGATTTTAATTGATTTTTCCGATTTAATTGCGCACACACACACAGTACCGCAACAAACAACTGAACGTCTTTATGAAAATTTTGACGACAAAGTTTACGAGTTTGCGTAATACGTTTGAGATAATGTTTGTCAACATGTTTGTAGCGAGTTTATAGCTTCTAGAGCAGATCAGATATGTATTTAAATCAAACGAGGATTGCGTATCGCGAGGTATATCATCACAGCGCGCGAAGGAAAATGTTTTATGCATGATCGGTAAATGAGGTCTGAACCTCTTCACGAAACCTCTTCCGAACGAATCTCTGAGAAAGATAAATAAAGCTGATCTCTTCTTTAGGACATCATCCCGGGCCTGCTCTCTGGCGCGTTTCTTCTCTCCTAACCGCACCAGGCAGAGTCCAGCCAGAAAATACCTACCAGCGATTTAAATGCAACCCGATTTGTGAGATCCGCGTTCCGATATATCGTTTTTTTTTTTTTTTTTTTTTCATTAATCAACAAATGTGGGTGTTAATTGAAATCTTGTTCGAATTTATTTGTTTAATATTTTCGAGAAATATTCAATTGAACGATTTTCAAAACAATTCAAGTACAAACAATTTTTATTCGATATCGCGTGTGCAATCTTGTATGTTTATATGTGATTACGTTAAATAATTACGTTATTGTTGCTGCGGGATAAAATTTTTATAACTTTATCACACCGAATATCTCTCTGTGTGTTACAACTCGTGTAAAACCGTGAAAATAAATCTTGGAGGATGTGTGATCCTCTCCCGAGATTTTATCTCGTCGGCCGTTTCTCTCCTATGAAACTCGTAAATATCTTTGCTGTCGAAATTCTTTTGTAAACTTTAAAGCGAGACAAAATAGATTATTTACAAGATTATTTATGACGATAGATTTAATTTAATGCAACTGCGATTTGTTCTCGATTAACTAAACTAATTAATTTAAAAAAAAATTTCGATAGTCTCGGAGTTTACGTAACTTTGCTGGAAAAAAATTAATTGTTCTGTGAATGGGGGGACAATTTTTATTTCGGAATATCATTTATATTTGTGACGTACGTTGCAAAACGGATAAGATCGCAAAATATGTTGTAAAAGAAATCAACTTATAGTTTTCAGTTTTTATTCAAACATGTCGTTTTCTTCTCGACTAGGAAATAATTGTGCAAGAGTGCGGTAACAATCGCGAGATATTATGGAACGATGATAAGTCGATTTGAAGAGCTCTACCTGTCGCTATCAAATCGCTGCTTTTCACACGAGAAAAAAGTGGAAGACTCGGAGAAAAAAAACGGAGAGGGCGAGAGAGTCACATCTACCCGGAAATGCATTCAACAGTAATAAAACGCTAATTCGATCAAGAGGTGTAATGAGCGACGTTATAACTAGCAGTCTCTGGAAAAAAAAGAGAAAGAAGAAGAGGGGAAAAAAAAGAGAGATAAGACAATGCGCGAGCATCCTCCTGAACGAGAAAAGAAAACTACGGGTCTTCGGAGCGCTCGGAATTATAAACGCACCACGCTCCGTTATGCGCATGCGCGCGTCACAAGCGGGTTTTCATCATTCGAAGAGAACTGCAAAGCCGCGCTGTGAAACGGCCGAGTAGTCCCGCTGGCTGGCTTGCTAAACTTTACGGTGGAACGAGGAGGTGGGCCAGTCGACGACCGCGTGGTGGGGAACGAAAGATAGTCATGAGGTTCGTGCTCGTAGGTGTTGTTGGCGCGAAGCGGAGAGAAGGGTAGGCCGGGCATGCGGCCGCGTGGAGGGAGAGCGGCCGAGACTACAGGGCCCGACTGTTCATGGACTCAGTAGCTCATGAGCGGCCTCACGATCGAGTTGTGGCTTTTTACGGGCGCCCCACTCGGAACTATCCACAAGATAACTGTAAATTTTCACCGAGTGAAGCAAGTGTCAGGATAGTGCCACGGACCTGTTGCCGGAAGTAACAAATTGTATGATTCAGTGTTTGCTCGTGAGTGACATTTCGACCGTAAGAACGTGTGGAAATAAGAACAACTCCTTCGGGATTAAGTTGGGACCCCGTTCCGAACGGTCCTGGCGTAGGCTCGTGCGGGAGGATATATATATATATATACACACACATACAGACAGAGATAATGATGGAATTTACAGGTTCATGATTGATAGTATCTTGTGTTCTAGCTGGATTTCGAACGGGAGTACTTTCGATCATGACTTTTTATGGTGCAAACGTGCTCCGGTTTGCCTTTTGACGTATCTGTTTGACGTGCAATCGTAACTGTACCCTATACTCTACTGCGACAGCAGACCTGACTTTGCCACTTCGATGTAGTGGCGGTGTGTTAAAGTGACGAAACGTCGTGCATCGCTCGCAACACCGGGTCACGATGCCAAAGATCTTCCTGATCAAGAATCGACTGCATCAGCAGCAGTTGCGGCTGCTGGAGTCGCAACATCTGAGCAAGAGCCCACCGCTCGGCAGCGGCAAGGACAGTCCACTTGGCAGCTCGGAACCGCTGAGTCTCATAGTCAACAAGGATCAATGTAAAGTGCCCTTCTTAATTAAAAAAAAAAAAAAAAACAGATGGAAAGCGGCATAACTTTGGCGATTTCCGTATTGCTCTAACACGTAGGTGGCGACACACAAAAACGCGCTGTGTGCCAGCGTTATATATATTTATTTATTTACTTTTTGAAATTATTCATTTACAAAATTATGTTAAATGACTATTTATATGACACTGAATATAAATGTCCCAGAAACATACCGGATATTTATTTTAAAAAATTAGATATGCAAACATTAAACACAACAATATTCTCAGTGTTTTAAATATTTTAAAATATATATTTCTAATTATTATTTTCTAACTTTAAGTACATTTAAATGTAAATTTTGTTGTAATTATTTCTTCTTAACAAAAATGTCCGACCAGAGTGTGTCCGGTCATCGGGACATTTACCTTCGTTCTAACAATGAATTTTAATTACAATTGTCAAAGTTACGTCGATTTCAACGTCCGATATGAAATTCCGCCCTTTCGTGCGCTGTACGATAGGATTTTAACGAGCGTTTCGGTTTGAAAAAAAATCTTTCTCTCCTTTTGTTGGATATCACAATTTTTTTTTTTTTTTTTTTGTTTTTGCTTAAATCGCGGTACAGATTCCCGCGCGCGTTCGTACGACGTATTATCGTCACCGCGCTCATCATTACGGGGAACGGATTAATAAAAGCGTGAGACAGTTTATCTTCATCTTTTCGGTAGTGCGTATGCGCGAGTTAAAATTTGATATACCGATTATCCGAACATTAAGGAAGCGTTGCGTGCAAATTTGAGATAACCGATCTCGACGGTTTAATCCTCCAATAAACTTCACTCAGCGCCGATAACCCAAATAACCGGGACGCGCGATTTTGTGGATCGCCTAAAACTTCTTCTCCCGGTTTGATGTTCTCTTTGCAGCTTGACGTGTGTGTATACCTTGCCTGTCGAGCGAGCGCACACAGAAAAAAAAATACCAAAAAAAAAAAGGGGGTAAAAAAGCGAACGCAAAATGTTGCACTTCTGCCGCAGGTGCGATCGTCTTTTAGGATACAGGTGCGATTGTAATTCGTGAGCGTATTCGTGACTGTATATCCGAACATTCGGAATCATCACAGGTACACGCCGCGGCGACGCGCAATTGCAAAGTTTCTCTCTCTCTCTCTCTCTCTCTCTCTTTCTCCTTCGTTTTTGTGAATCATTACCGCACACATTATGCTAATTGTCCTATATGCTAATTACGCGCATTGCTTTTTTCTTCTCGCATTTGCGCGACTAGTTCGTCATCACCGACGATTTCTTTCTCCGCGCGCTTTGTTTGCAGAAGAAACGTGATTTTTATTTTATTTATTTTTTTTTCTAACAGTAAAATCCCTTGAAAGAGAGAGAAAGAGAGAGAAAGAGAGAGAGAGAGAGAGATAGCGTTTGTTGCGGGTACCCGGTGTTGCGGATGCTTTTTTTCTTATCGCGATATTTCTTGATGATTCACCCGTCGAACGTTTGTTTCCTCGATGCGATGCAACACAATGCACACGCGTCTCTCTTATCAGTCGCGATGTTACGTCGAAAGCGCGCAAAACATTGCGGATTTGTCACTCGACGTCTCGTCGTCGTCCGCGGCAACAACCAATCTCTTAAAGAGAGAGAGAGAGAGAGAGAGATACAGAGCTAACATTTGCGCGTGCGGTCGTAATTTTTAATGAATCGCCGCTTCTGCGCGCGTCGCGGTTGCATAATGACACATTTACGTTGTTGTGCGAACGGTGTTTCGTCGACGAACGGTCATCTTCTTCCTTCGCGCGTCAGCCTCGGCGATAAAACGGTACAATGAGTAAACTGATTGGAAAAATATGCAATTGCGAGTAATATTTTCAAATGTTGCTTGCTTGTAAAAAAAATTAAAAGAAACAACGTCGAGGTCAGCTGACACAAATCCCGGAATTTAAATTTATTCCGCGAACGGAGACGCGCGCGTTTTAAAAGTGCTCGCGAAGAGCTCGCCGCGTTTACAAAAGGTCTCTGTCTCGCTCTCTCGCTCTCACGTTTCGATCGGGAATGTAATTCCCTCGCTTTTTGTAATTTCTAAGACAAACACGCACACGGGGGGATCAATCAGTCGCGTGTGAAAACATCGCGTGAGCGATGGGGCCCGCCGCTACTTTGTTTAGTTACGTAATTTACGGCCTAGCGCTTTTGGCGCGGTTCTATCAGTCGGTCCTCGGGGGCGAAGTCTAGTCGAGGTCAAATCGGGATAGTGCTTTTACAACGGTACAGTGAGTAGTAGGTGGAGACCGAAAATTATACATGTATATGTACACATATATATATATATGTACATATATGCGGAGTTCTAAAACTGGTTTAGGAAAGTGACCCGGGCGCGGTCTTCTCCCTCGTTTTCTTCTTTTGGATTTCTCTCTCGTTGTCCTCTTCGCTCCCGTCTCTCATTCCCGTTCCTCTTGTTCTTTCTCTACCGGCTCGTATTATAATACACATATAATATACACACACACATACACACATCGGTTTCCTGATTCTCGGTCCGCGCCAGGCGCGCTCCGAGATAATATGCGCGAAAGACAGACGGGTCTGGTACAGTGTCGACGGCCGTGCGACGTCGCAGGTGCACCGGATCGCTCTTTTTGGTCTATGTCATTAATTATACATGTTAATTATACGCACATATATATAGATACATGTAACGCAAAAACGATCGCTTTGCGCTCGCCGATTTTCAGCCACAAGCCACGCCAAATTGTTGTTTCCTTTCCGAAGCGTGACCGGCAGCGTATCCTCCGCGTGATCGCTTAATTAGCGCGGTTTAATGACGTTTTTAAGTGATTTATCGCTCCTCGTAAAAATTGTACGTTTCTCGTGTAAATATAGGTTCGTTAAATGTGCCGTCGTTTGAGAGTCCACCTCTTGTCCGCACATGTCGGACGAAACTTCGCCGCGCAGCCGTCTATCCTCTCTCGCGGTGACGAATATTCCGCGATCGGAAAAGTGCGTAAGTAAACGCATTACGTAAGCAATAACGCGTGTGCATCACGCACAGATCGCGAGGACATCAACGCGTATAAAACGTTTCGTCTGTTGCTCGCGTACTGTTTTCGAGCGAGCGACGAACGAACCTTCGAACGTTGAGATGAGCGATTGACGCGGAGACTTCAACGCCGGCGCGCGATGCAACGCGGCGCGCCGCGTTCAAGTGTCGAAGATTTTCTCTTCCCTCAAAGGCTTTTTTACATAAGATTTCGATTAAAAAAAAAAAAACTTTTCGCGACATTAACTTTCGAATTTTATACTACAAATGTATTTTTATAAATTTTTGAAAAAGGAGAGTTCCTCTATCGGATCGCGTTGTCACGCAAAGAGAGAAAAAGAAAGAGAGGAAGGGAGACTCTCTTTTTTTTAAATTTTACATTTGTTACATTTTTACAAATATTATTTTTTCCAATTTTTAAACATTTTGAACAATCACGCGATATCGATATATATATACATATATATATACGTGCACAAACAGAACTGATCTGGCACGAAACAACCGTTCTGCGATCTTGAACGTATCTGTTACGAATTCATGGCCGCGGCCTTAAAATGGCGGCGACTCCACTTACTCTAACGTGAATGTTAATGAGTTTCGCGAGTTGTGTTTGGTGTACGGCTGGACTATTAGGCAACCGAAATTCTTTCTTTCGTGTTACAAAGAGAAAGAGAGAGAGAGAGAGACAGGAGAGAAAGAGAGAGAGAAGAAATCCCCGTTAGAAAACAGAAACCTTCGATTTCGCGAAACAGTTGCGCAACGCGATGTAAACCCGCTGTCAGTGATCGCGCACGGTGCCCGCGACGGCCAAGGCGATCGTGCTGGCATTAGAATCTCGTCGTGGCACGCGGGAACTGTGGGAGGGATAGATAGAAGGTCGACCGGGGAGTCACTGACTAGAAATCTAACCGAACAGTTGTAGACTCCTCGCGAGATCCTCGATGATTTCATACGTAGAAAAATCAAATCGAATTTTATTGTTCCAGTTCCCCGTTACCTTACTATATTTTTTTTTTCTACGTAGACAAAAATCGTAACGCAATCCAATATTTTAACGTTTGAACCGTGTAAATTAATATAGAAAAATTTTCCTCTTTGTATTAAATTATTTAAAACAGATAGAAAACACACAGATGCGAGCAATATTCATCCGTAAACTGTATAATTATAAAGTGATATTTAAAATTATGATTCTTGTCTTTATAAACATTTTTCACGTTTTTATTACTTTGTTTATACGCAAGTTTGACGCACACACACGTATTTTCTTACAGCGAGGATAATAATTTATACTTATTTTAGCGCACGTGCGACTTGCTTTATCCGCGATGGAAATAGAATTTCTCTTATTGATAATCGCGACAAGATTATTACTTTTTTTTTTTTTTTTTTTTTTTTTGTTTCTTTCAACTCGGTCGCGGACTTCGATTCTGGATCGAGCTTGGCATTTTATGCAATTGCAGTGCGACGCACGCTCATTCCACTTAAGCCTGCGCTAGCTAGCCTCTACCAAAAGAGGATCGTGCCTGTCGCCGTGTGCATGGAATGCGTTAAATTCGACGCGACGAAGGGAGTTGGGAGCAGGGCCGGCGCAACCGGCCGTCAGATCTCGTACTACTACTTCTAAAATATCGAAATCATTTTAATCCCCGAATTAAAAAAGTGAGATTTTTGATTTTTTTTTTTTTTCTAAATTTTTTTCTAAATACGCGAAGACAAAAACTGATCGTCGAACCAGAAGTTCTAGTTCTTGAAGAAGGTTTGTTTCTCGAAACCTCGACAGTATTTTCGCTGAAAATGTGCATAAAAAAAAAAGGGGGAATTGCTTCGCGTTCGAAAGAGACGCCGTTAACGCGTCTTTCTCGCTGCATAACGTACACGTATGTAATCGGGCGCGTACATAGATAAATACTGTTACATCGAGCGCGCACACCGAGCGCTTTAACTGTCGTTGA